AATTCTCCCTACCCACAGTGATTCCCAAGTGCTTCCTCATAAAAGCGGAGATGTATCGTGCCAGGAACAACGTGACCACAAGATCAATTGGTGGGAAATCTGTAGAAACTGCCTTTGTGGACAATGATGGCATCTATGACCCAGAGTGTGAGAGTGATGGAAAGTTCAAGGCTATCCAGTGTAATGGCACTGATGTGTGCTGGTGCGTCAACAGTGCTGGTGTGCGCAGAAGTGACAAGGGAGACAAGAACATCAAGTGTGAGCCCGTGGAGACCTAGTGAGTGTGTTTGTATTAGCAGAGCTGTTAACAGGATGTTCTTCTGACCGACACACCTAGTTTGAAGTGTGGTTGGAATATTAATGCTGTTTGTGGAAGGAAGCAAGACTAGTAAATTCTGACAATGCCATGTTTTCTTCTCTAGTTGGGTTCGCCTGGAACTGAAGCATAAAGCAAATGACGCAACCGTTCCTCTTGATGCTACCAAACTGAAGACGTATGTTGCAATTGATTTCTAGGGTCTTGCTGCACCATGTGAAATATGAAGTTTTGCTTTACTGATGTTACTCTTTTACAGTGGGATTGAGAATGCTTTACTGGAACGTTACAAGTTGGATAAGAAATTTGTGTCTGAGGTTAAGGTAAGAATTTGCCATTGTTATCTAACCCTTCAACTTGGTACTTGCGGTACAGAACCTAACACGACCCACCTCTTTTCCAGTATGACAAAGATGGTCGTGTCATTGTTGTGGATGTCAAAAAGCCTGAGAAAGAACGTATTACAGACCTGTCTCTCATGACTTACTACATGGAGAAGGATGTGAGTCTCGGTTCAGTTTCTTCTCTTCATATGGTGTTATGTTGTAACTTAATATGTAACAATTAATTTGTCTCTCATAGATCAAAGTTAAGCCCCTCTTTCAAGACGAAAAACCATTTGAAGTCAGTGTTGAGGGATCAAAGGTGTCCATGGAGAACATCCTGGTGTACTATGTAGATGAAGTGGCGCCCACCTTCACCATGCAGAAGCTGACTGGTGGTATCATTGCTGTCATTGTGGTGGTCAGCTTGATTGTGATTGCGGGACTTCTGGTTATGGTAAGTGGCATATATTTCAAGTTTTATTTAACTTGATGGGTGCTTGTAGTCTTAACTGTTTTTCCTCCTCTATTTAGTTCTTCCTCGCACGGCGACAGAAGGCCCAGTACAGTAAAGCACAGGTTAGTTCTCATTTCAGTATGGTCCAAACTGTGTGGGTACTTCACCAATAGAAAGCAAGCTTTTGTATTCTAACACATTTCCTTTTGTTCTTGCAGCCCAGAGAGATGGAGACCATGTCTTAAAGCTATTAATAACGTCTCATGTACCTGAGTCTGACACTGGGATGTGCCCTATGCTGAAGCTTAAACCTGCTGTACTTTTTTGCTTGTGACATTTTTCATGTTCGATAAACTAAGTGTCTGTTACATGCGGAGTACAGTTTTTGTTTTTAAATGTTTGTTACATTTTTTGCTATTTAATGAGGGCTCATTTTCAATTGGATCAACATTTTAACACTGTACAGTTTGACTTGTAAGTTTTTAATAAAATTTGTTTGTGTTTAAACGTTGTCATGCAAGTTTAGAATTCTGGCATATGGCAGATACACCAGGCATATGGTAATCTAAATCTAGTAAATCAAAGTCCTTTGAACTATAGCGCTGTATTGGTTTTGCTAAATGAAAAGGACTATCCTAGCACAAAACGATTCCTAGCTTTTGTTTCCAACCACATGATCTGTCCTTTTCAGTTCATGGCAATCAGTTGAGCTGCACCTGTTCTCTACCATACGAGATTCACCACAGAATTCAAATCTGTGATGGCAACTCGTTGAATGGGACTAGTTTTAGTGTGACTACACATTGTCCAAATCAAATAATGCAGTGTCAAGTAGACACCATTTACTTGCGCATTTCAAAAACTTTCCTGTGAATGTGAGACTTCTGATTCATTAGTCACTACAGGTAAATAACTAGAAGGATAACATGCAGTAAATGGAAAAACTATTTGCACTACAAACTGGTATGATTACGATAATACAGTAAAATATAACGATGCCAATTTTTGCAATATCACTCGGCATAACAGACTAGTTTTGTACAGTTAAAAATAACGGAAGTGGAAGCTTACTTTGGGTAATTTGAGTTACATATGGTGGCATGTGCATTATCCACTTTATTTTTTTACATAAAAGAGGATGTTTTAAATGATACAGGGCCTGTAGGGTCTAATTATACAGCACTTCAACCTGTGCGTTTGTACAAACCTTTTTTTGTTCTTTCAAAATTTAAAACAAAGTGGCTGTTTATTAACTCGAAGCTGCAGACCATTCAAGTGCAGAGAAAGACTAATAATTAAACCTGTGAGAGAGCCATGCACGGAGCGGTTTGAAATACAGGTCAAACCTGTTGCTCAAGTTTCGGCCAACAAAGTTCCTATATCATTGTGGAATGACTTATGCAAAGTTTCAACTAACAAAGACTGCAACCTCCTCCCACGAACTAGGAAGCTACTCCAATTCTGTTTTGGTTGAAGAGTTTCAGGTTTTAACAGGAACATTAATGAATGATTAATGCATTAGTAATGAAAAGCTTTCCCACACTTTCTTAGTAGAAATGGCACACATTACAACGTGTACAGCAAACACCTTGCCAAAGATGTTGATGCCTTCATTTTGTGTGATCTAATGGAATTTTTCAAGGTTTTATTGAAGCAGCCAAACAAAGTGGCACAAGTCCGAAGTCAAAACTAATCCTGACAAGAGAAATCTCCAAACAATAGCTTGGCTGGCACTCCCTTGCCTTGAATTCTTCGCCTTTTCATGTAGTTCCCCAGTATATTTCCCTGAGAAGCCTCGAGCGTTTGTTTCTCAGACTAGTTGAGACAGGTTTGGGCGGATCACATGTTGCCCTCCCCCATCCGCACTCACACCTGAGTTGGAAGTCATACAGACTCAGTCTCTGTGTTTCCATGGCAGAAAAGGAGGGATTAAATGACAAAGCCTATCAGATGAGTGTGGGTCACGGTAGGAAGGGACGTTTTCACGAGGATGGTTCACCCTCACCTGTGTTCCGGTTCACATTGTCAAGTGTTTAAAAATCACGTAATTGTGTTATTTAATTTAAAGCAATGTGCAAATAGCAGTACACTAAAAATCACTAAATTCCTATCAAACAAGTCAATATTTGGAAGGTTTTGTTACTTTGGCTTTATAGAGTATATAAGTCATCATCATAAATAGTTTTCATCAGGTGTTTGTGTAGATCACTAGATACTCGGCATTCCTGCTGTAATAATAATCTGAGTCAGGGCTGGTAAACACAGAAGGTAGAGGATGACTAAACTTGTTAGGCTACAATATTATTAAACGGGCAAATGGTTCCAAGTAACATACTGTAAGTAACTGATAAATGGATTTTAATCAGTGCAATGATGTGAGGCAGTCTGCCAGTGGAACAAGAAGTGCTCATATAAAAACAACTTTGTGCCAAATGGGAGGTTGTGACATGGGAAGAATATCTGGTTTTTAATTTCAATGGGTTGGGAAATGAAGAAAGTGTGGCAACCGAGGCAACAAAACAAAACAGTCATTTGAGTAATATGTAAAATGAGTTTGCATCTTCAGAACACTGATGACAAGAAACCAAACAATCATTCATATCCTCTACATTTTGAATCAATTATGTTACATGGCATGCAGTCATAATTCGCTGAATCTGTTGTATTCATGAGAAGTACATGAATTATAGGTACGCTGCTGTTCAACAGTTTGAAAGAAAATAATACTTTTTATTCAGGACACATTAAATTGATCCAAAAGTGATGAACAAAATATTTATATCCAATTTAAATAAATGCTGTTCTTTTTAACTTAAGCATATTAGAAAGATTTCTGAAAGATTATGTGACACTGTAGACTGGCGTAATGATGCTGATAATTCAGCTTTGCATCACAGGAATAAATTACATTTTAAAATAGTTTAAAATAGAAAATCTTTATTTTTAATTGTGCAATAATATTTCACAATATTACTGTTTTACTGTATTTTCGATTAAATAAATGCAACCTGGGTGAGCGTAAGAGATTACTGACCCCAAACTTTTGAACAGAAGTGTACTTGAATTAATTTCTTTCTACCAAAATATATATCTATTTTGAAATACATAAATTAATAAATTAGAATTTTCCTTTTTGAATAAGGGCATTTATTTAAAGCTGTATAATAGATAATAATGATAGAAAATACACTTTAGAAATAAATAAATACAATTTGCTATGACATTATATGTCATACAGTATAATGCTCTGGTACTCCGAAAAAAAATAAAATAAAAAAATAAAACAAAACCTTCCAGTTTGTTTCTCCTGCAGTGTATCTCTTTATAAATTCCACACCCCATGTTCAGTACAGCAGTACAACACAAACTCTCTAAAACACCCCTGCCATCCTACAGTACATAACTCCATGTTGACTTCTAAAGACCACACATATTTTTTTTGTAATGGACTTCCTGCTTTATCAATCCTTGCATTCTCTCGACATGCTTCAGCATGCTAACGTGAGATGAGATTTTAGCGTGGGAGGTTACATAACTCTTGTTTTACACATTCTGCGATCACAACTTGTTTTCAATTCCAGTTGAGTCAACGTCAGCAAGCCAGCACATCTCTCAGCAATGTATGGCCTGCTTCAACATGCTAACGTGAGATGAGATTTTAGCGTGGGAGGTTACATAACTCTTGTGTTACACATTCTGCGATCACAACTTGTTTTCAATTCCAGTTGAGTCAACGTCAGCAAGCCAGCACATCTCTCAGCAATGTATGGCCTACATATGTAGTGTACCTGATATAATGATAGAAGGAAACGTGTTTACGTAGTGTTTTGAGTTTATATATTTGTTTCAAAAGAGATTGTTGGTAAAGCCTAAAAACTAAACCCAAGTGTTTGGGTGAATCTCATGAAAAGTCTCAAAGAACAGTTCTGGCCACAAGTTATTATTGTTATTTTTTGCTTATGGAAAAATTAAGATCCTTTGACATTTTCATGACAATAATGCACATTTCAACCAAAAATTACATTACAAGAATGCATAATGAAAATTACAAAACAATACTGTACAAAATACTGTCTACTTATAAAAATCTGCATAAATTAATAAATGAAACCGTGTTTTGTACAGTATTGTTGCTTTTTTGAATATATATATATATATATATATATATATATATGAAAATTGAGAATACCATTGAGAATGTGCATTACAAAACTCAAAAAGTACAATGTCTGGACAAAATATGTTAATGACAATTTGGTGGAAAATGTCATAAAAATGTCACAATGCAAAAAAAAAAAAAGTAATACATTTCATTTTCATATGCACAGTAATATTTATTTTTTATTATTTACGGGGATCTCATCCGTTTTAATGTTGAGAACTACTGTCAGCCATGTCACCCTCAGCCCCAACAGGAAGTATTAGATGATTTAAAGAGATTTCCAAATTCTCTTTGATGTGAACCAGTATATTGTAAATATGGTTTTTTGGACACTAGCCAGGGATTTTGATCAGCTGAGAATGGACTGACATACTGTATATCCTGAGTGAACACCACCACATACTGTACGGGCCACTTAAAGGAGGGTGGGTGCTTTGCTGGGTCTGCAGGCGGCTGGAGGAGTCTTGCTCCTCGAATCCTTGTTCTTCATCTCTCCAGATAGAGCCAGCAGCAGGGCTGGGGCCGACAGGTGGTGCGCTGCTGCTTTTTGTTGTTGTGTGCAGTTAATGTAGCTGGTTATGAGCAACGTCGTGTCTCGAACCTGAACAACACAAAGAAAGCAGAGAAATGCTGTTCACGCTTTGGAAAATGCATGTTTGCTGCTGCGGGATTTCAATTCTCTAGCAGCGTATGCAATGTTAGCTGACATCATCTAATGTTTCTACATAGCAAACAGAAGTACTCATCAGTCTGTGTGTTTCTGTGTACTTTGGTGTGTGTTCTCTCTATGTGTAAAAGAGAATATAAGTACACCAATGTTCAAAAGTTAGTAAGATTTTTAAAAAATGTTTTTGAATATCGTCTCATATTCTCAGCCAGGCTGCATTTATTTGATCAAAACACTGTAAAACAGTGATGTGAAATATTATAACAATTTAAAATAACTGTTCTATTTGAATTCATTTTAAAATGTAATTTATTCCTGTGATGCAAAGCTGTATTTTCAGCATCATTACTCCAGTCTTCAGTGTCACATGATCCTTCAGAAATCTTTCTAATATGATGATTTGCTGCTCAAGAATCATTTCTTATTATTATCATCAATGTTGAAAACAGTTGTGCTGCTTAATATTTTTGCGGAAACCATGATATACTGTATATATCCCCCACAGCATTCTTAAAGGGATACTCTACCCAAAAAATGTAAATTATTTACTCATATTTACTCATCATTATTTACTCAATACCTCCACTTGTTCCCAACCTGTATTAATTTCTTTTTTCTGTTGAACACAAAAGAAGACATTCTGAAGAATGTTGGTAACCAAACAGTTGACGGTAGCCATTGTAGTATGGAAAAAAAATACTATGGAAGTAAATGGCTACCATCAACTATTTGGTTTGGAACAAGTACAGGGTGAGTAAATGATGATAGAATTTTTATTTTTGGGTGAACTATACCTTTAACTGAATAGAAAGTTAAAAACAAAAACTTGAAATATATATTTTTTTGTAACATTATAGAAGTCTTTACAATGACCCTTGATCAATTTAATGTTTTTGCTGAATAATAATAATAAAAAAAAAAAATGTAAACGGTAAACTTTACTGTTTACATAAAAAAACAAAAATTAATTAAATAAGTAAAACCTGAATATTTAATTTAATTTTTTTTTTACACAAATTACAACTGTCCCACAGTTGTCATTTCCACATCAACAAAAACAAAAAGACTCATTTAAGACAACACAGTACCTACGTACCTTTGACGGGGCCATAGCAAACAGATGCTTGTCTGTAGACTTATCTTTGGATGTGCTGGTGCCAGAACTCAGAGTTACTACCAGCATAAAGTCCTGACCACATGCTCCAAATGCAACAATGCTTTTATAAGGGTAGGATGCCAGGAGTTTCTAGAAAACACATGATGAAAACTCATTTTAGCTCTTCACTAACGATATGAAGTATTTTGAAATAACATGAAACTCTGAAGAGAATGTGTTCCCTTACTACAGAGTTGAACTCTAGCATGTTAACTCCATCTTCATGTACTGCCAGCCAAACACGCACGTTCTTCTGTGGAGATGGAGCTACAGGCTTTCTCTACAAGGAGAAAAACAGTGAGATTAAGAAACAATAATGCCACTTTTTTGAGTATTTAAATATAGAAAAAATTGTACACATCACATTTAGCCTTAGAGGGACACTCGCCTCAGCCTCAAATAGTTTGGCTCCAAAAAATGACCACTTGCGAGCCACTGTCAGGTAGATTCGTATGCACTCTGATGAACTCCGACCCCTCAGAGAAGCCCATCGGGTAGAGAGCCTCTGCAGCAACAGCCTGAGAACGTATGTATGAACATATGTATGTAAGATGGCCAAACAGATTCTTTGTGTTCATATTTGAGTTTATGTCACAGGAGGCATAAATACCTTATTTGTTCCTCAATGCAGGTGTGTCGGTAATGTTTCGGGTAGAAGCGCTCTAGAACCTGTTTTAGGGTCTGGTTAGATTTAGTCTGTGCAGCTCCTGAACCACCTGGACTACTAAATGGACGCTCAAAGTCTCCATACTCCACCTGCATGACACAAAAAAATTATGTTTACTTAAGTAAATGAAGCCTATCTTAGGACCATTAAGTTATTTTGGATAATGACATTATTTCTCTGACAATTAAGCACATTTCTCCCCAAATTATCATCACTGTAATGTGCTATTACTAATGTGCTATAATGTTGCATTACGGAAATGAAAATTATGTAAACACACACACACATACACACACACACACGCTCCCTCAGCTCCACCATTACTAAAATAATTATTAATAGAATCCTTTTAGAACCATAATATGTAAATTCTGTTTGATTCCCATCCCATTCCTATAAAAATAAATTGCTTACAGCATCTCCATAGAAAAAGAGCTCAATTTTAGGTAATTAGGCTCAATTTTAATTTCTCTGTCATCACATTTAATTACATTTTTTTAAGTATACATCCGTAGAAGAAAGTTAAGATGTGTCGCTGTGGTCGATGTGTCAGACGAGAGGGTGTGACGTTGAAGAAATGTAGTAGGCTGTTTAATTCATTGACAAAGAGAGGTAAAATATACCCTGAACATGATCTTGACAGGTTTGTGAGATGCACTAATATTCTGAGGAGCAGCACTGTGTACCTGAGCAAGCAGGGCGGCCATTTCTAAAGCAAGCTCTTTGTTAACAGGGAAGTGACCAGCAGTAATTTCCTCATTTGTTTGGTACGCCAGAAGCAAACGCTCTCTCTCGGTCTCCCCTCTCATCTGCTGGGAGAAGTATAACCTAAAGGAAACAAACTAGCAGTTAGTCACAAATTACAGCCTTTTGGAGATAGCCATCTTGCTTATGTTCTGTTTAAGAGTCTGCTCTCTACCGGTTCTTATAAGTGAGCTTCACTGTCCTGGCATTCTCTGATTTCCCTGCGTGCTGCTCCTTCGAGGCTTGCTCCCATTTTGAAATAATGTCACAGATCTGAGGACACAGCACATTTTGTGAAGATAAAGACAGTTAGAAAGTACAGTTTCTAAAATAATAAGAATGTTTTTGTGTGTGTCTGACCTTCAGGTGTCCCTGAAGACAGTGCTCAAGGTCTTTGCCAGTGGGGTCATCAGAATAAAGGCTGAAACCAGACTGGCCGGTTTTCCTCATGCCCGTGTCCTGGTTCAGCTGACTCTGAAACTCCTCCACTGTTGTTGAAGCATCAAAACTAACAACCTGATACATAAAGACTGTTAGCTTAGACAGACAGATGGTGTATTACCTGTTGTTTGTTATGTCATTTTGTAAGAAACAGTTCACCCAAAATGAAAGTTCTCACATCATTTAACCACCTTCATGATATTCTAAACTGTTATTTTTGTTCCATGGAATATATAAATAAGAACATCTGATTCCCACACTTTTTGGCAATACATTTGTATGATGTTTCCAGTTTTTCATGGCTATTGGATGAGGATTTCTATTTAATAGTTTTACAGAGTTGTGTGGATCAATACATTTTTTTTTTCCTTAAAAGGAATTTATACTTTTACTCAGCAAGGATGTAATAAATTGATTAAAAGTGACAGTACAGAGAAAAGATTTACATTTTAATAATAGTTTCAAATAATCCAGAAAAAAAGTATCAGAACTGTTTTCAATAATAATATATATATTTTTTTTTTTTGAGAATCAAATCAGCATATTCGGATGATTTCTGAAGGATCATGTGACACCGAAGACTGGAGTAATGATGCTGAAAATTCAGCTTTGCATCACAGGAATAAAATACATTTAAAAATATATTCAAATAGAAAATAGTTATTTTAAATTGTAAAAAAAAAAGAAAAAAACATTCACGGTATTGTTGTTTTTACTGTATTTTTGATCAAATAAATGCAGCCTTGGTGAGCAGAAGAGATCAAAAACATTTTAAAAAATCTTACAGATCCTAAACTTTCGATAAGTAGTCTAGCATTTTGTTAAATGAATAAATTTGAACAATTATACTCCAATAAGCTCTTACAAGAGTCAGCACTTACAAAGAGAAATATTTTTTTTTAGAGCTGAGTATAACTTGAAAAAACAAATATCCATTTTCACTGTAATAAATTCCTCATTACATTTTAATACATTAAAATTCCCTGATATGTCCAAATTTTACATGACCATGGGAATCCTTTTTAAAGAATCTGCACACAGCTGTTTTCTATAAATTTATGCATTTTGCAGAAGCTGAAAAGCAGATTTTGCATTCCCTGGGTAGTGAACCCAAGACGTTGTTGTTGTTGTTAATGTCATGCATTACCATTCAAGCTACAGCAAAAGCACACGATGATTCATAAAGACCTCTTCAAAATGTCCAATAAACAGTTTTAAGTCATCCATCGAATGTCTCAGATGACTTGGAATATAGCGCACAATTAAAATGAACTACTTTTATAATAGTTTCATAGTATTTTTTTGTCCTTTTTGCTCCATATTATTGAAAAGAGCTGCAAGAAGATGTAGAAGAACATCAGGATGAGTAAATAATGACAGATTGTTCATTTCTAAATGAACTGTTCTTTCATCATAAGCCTGATTTGAATATGTGTGCACCTGGTAGGTGTTGTTAAGGAAGTGTACAGGCACACTGAAGGGCAAAGAGTGATGATAAGGGTTCCTGAGTAAGATTGATAGGATCTCCATTCGTGACGACCGGGCTTGCCGATCCCCCTTCTGCTGCGTCCGCTCCAGTGAGCGCTGACAGTAAATGGCATACTTTCCCACTTCCGTCCTGGGGAAAAAAAGCAGAGACTGAGTGACTGTGGGATGTGCTTCCAGGAATGCTAAGGCATAGATTCGGTTTTGATTTACCTCGAATCTCCGTGTCTTTTGAGGTGAACCTGCAAATACCACAGAATAGGGGGTGTGGGCAGGAAAAGGCCGACACACAAAGCCAGGAACTGCCATCCCTGTGTTACAGTAAATGGAAACAAGTCAAGACATCTCCTTGTGGCTTCAATCCCAAGATGAGGACAAACACAAAACAAAACAAAACAAAACAAAACAAAACAAAACAAAACCAATCACTCCCTCTAGTGGTGTGTGTTCACATCGCAAGTATCATCTGACCTGCAGTGGTTCCGGCGGTCCGTGTGGCTGCCCCTTGCGTGTCTGTTTGATAAGCTGGCAGTAGATCTCGTTCTGTAGCTCTGAGTGGGTGAGACACACTTGTAGTGCACACTGGGCAAGAGTCACGTGATAATCTATGGCTGGAGTGTCAATGGCCACGTTAATGAAGAGCTGACATGTCTGTAAAGAAAGGAAAAGGATCGTTTCTGCCTGTTTTTTGGTGGGTTATTCCCTCCAAATGTGTAATAAATGAAGACGTATAACCTTAAAGAGCTTGATGGCTTCAGTTTGTAGAGCCTGTGAAGGAAGGGTGGTGAGTGGAGATGACAGTCCTTCCTTAGTGAAGCACAGCGTCGGGTGTCTCCAGAGTTGAGACCCTGAGAAACAACGGGACAAATGTGGACATTAAATTGTTTGTATATAGCTACAGTTTAAAAGGGCAGCATGGGGTTGAAGTAAACAAGTTGAGAATAAACTGAATTTATGATATAATGTTTGCCATGCTTATATTTTAATAATATATGTCAAATCAGTCTCAGCCTCAAGCAGCACACCCACACGCCACAGTGCTTTCATTTAGAAGTGTTTACCACAGCACAAATGCTTGGGGCCCCAGAGATTTGGGGGGGCCCCTGCTGGCTATAAGCAACTGAATAAACCACTTAGTTACTGCATCTTTTTTTACATTACAGTCTTGTTGGCTTATAGTTTATGTAACCGCATGAAAATGAAAACAGAAAAAGATACACTTAAACTTAGTTCTTAAATCTTTTGACTCCAAGGCCCCCCATTATCCAAACAATATTTAAAGAGCTGAATGTTCTTCAGAATTCCCTCTCTTTTTAACCAATTTACACAACTTTTCCAGTTGTTCATCATTTACTGAATAAAGGTTAAGAATAAAAAATTTTAAGAATATTTTTAGAACAATTTCTACTCAATAAAATATTTTAGAGTGTGGCGTAACGACACTGTATATTCATTATAAATATGCCTGTACTGTATATCAGCTGTCATCCAACTAACTGAAACCGGTGCTACTTTTGCAGGGTATATACAGGAATCATGGAGTTAAATTTAATACCTTTTAAGACCTTTTTTTAAAACTCTGTCCATACATTTTAAGACCTCATCGCCACTTCAAGGTTTAACCGGTTACATCGGCGACACTTTAACTTACATTTACTATAAAGAATATAATAGAAGATAGCACAACTGAACAGTCTTAGTTTGTGATAACTCCTTATCAATACAGCATAATTCATAAGGGTGGGAACGAAGCATAAGAGAATTAATTGAGTGACTAACCCAATGCAAGGTTTATTAGAAAGAGAAACCAGAAACAAGAATTAGACCAATAAACAAAACAATTGACAAAACTGCTCGATTATGGCAAAAATCATAATCACGATTATTTAGCATGATCATGAGTGGGCCACATGATCAAAATGATTTATTTAAAGATAGCAATATATATAAAATACATATATTTTCTGTAAATAAGGTTGCTATGACATCTAGATTTTAGAGACATTTAGAGATTTAGAGAAATTTCACAATTCTCAATACCACAGCAGAATACTAGGGGAACTAATATTAGTAAAAAACAAACAAACAAAAAAAAGTCCTAAAAAATGATTGAAAATAATTTTAAAAATCAATAATAAAAAAAGCAAAGGACAAATACAATTGAAAAAATAGATACAAATGAAACAGTGCTTTACGTTTTTTATGCAAGTCTAAAGTATTCAGCTAACAGCATAACAGGTGGCATGTCTTCCCCTTATATGTACTTTATGAGTCTGATGTGAGACATTCCACCACAATTAAATATATGAAATGAATGCAGATGTGAGACTTTTACCTGGATCTCCCTCTATGCTGAGCAGTTTACCAACCAGCTGCTCGAACTCAGTCCCCACCTGCCCCACTGCGTTGCCCGCGGCCACAGACAGATGGAAAAGCCAGGCCGTCTACAGGACAGGAACACACACAGACAGGCAACAATGACGTTTTGTTTCACCCTACCCAAACATTTCAGATTATCTTTGAATATATTCCTTTTCTGTGCTGTGATGAAATTAGATCCTTTGTTAAAAAGAAGTAGACATACTAAAAGCATGAGTACTATGGAAATAATATACATAAAAAAATATATAATTAAGTGCAAACTCAATATAATATTTTCAGACAGTTAATTGCGCGTAATTTACAATGAAATTAAAAATGATTAAAGTTTAAATTTATATAAAATGCAATTAGCTGAAATTAATAGCACTTTTTGACCCACTTAAGTAGGACTGAAGTATATGTTTATATGTAATTTCATAATTACTTTTATTGTTTTTGAAATATGGATAAAGTGTACTGCTGAATGTTCTGACAAGCATTTAAGGTCAAATAAAGTATACTTTAATGTCATTTCTATTGAAACAAGTATGTCATTTGTTTACTTTTTTAATTTCTATATAAATATATTTGATGTATTTAAATATGTGACTCTGGACCACAAAACCAGTGTTAAAGGAACACTCCACTATTTTTGAAAATAGGCTCATTTTCCAACTCCCCTAGAGTTAAACAGTTGAGTTTTACCGTTTTCGAATCCATTCAGCCGATCTCTGGGTCTGGCGGTAGCACTTTTAGCTGTAGCTTAGCATAGATCATTGAATCTGATTAGACCGTTAGCATCTCGCTCAAAAATGACCAAAGAGTTTCGATACTTTTCCTATTTAAAACTTGACTCTTCTGTAGTTACATCGTCTACTAAGACCGACGGAAAATGAAAAGTTGCGATTTTCTAGGTCGATATGGCTAGGAACTATACTCTCATTCCGGCGTAATAATCAAGGAACTTTGCTGCCGTACCATGGGTGCAGCAGGCGCAATGATATTACGCAGCGCCTGAAAATAGTCCCCAGCGGCTAGGAACTATACTCTCATTCCGGCGTAATAATCAAGGAACCTTGCTGCCGTACCATGGGTGCAGCAGGCGCTGCATATTACGCAGCACCTGAAAATAGGCTTATTGGAAGTTACCTAGCTGGGGACGGTAAAACTCAACTGTTTAACTCTAGGAGAGTTGGAAAATGAGCCTATTTTCAAAAAATAGTGGCGTGTTCCTTTAAGTCACTGGGGTATATTTGTAGCAATAGCCAAAAATACATTGTATGGGTCAAAATTATTGATGTTTCTTTTATGCCAAAAATCATTAGGATATTAAGTAAAGATGAAGATGTTCCATGAAGATATTTTGTAAATTTCCTACAGTAAATATATTAAAACGTAATTTTTGATTAGTAATGTGCATTGCTAAGAACTTCATTTGGACAACTTTAAAGATGATTTTCTCAATATTTAGATTTTTTTGCACCCTCAGATTCCAGATTTTCAAATAGTTGTACCCTTATGACTGGTTTTGTGGTCCAGGGTCACATATATTTAAATGACACATTTGTAATGATGGAGTTATAATTTAGTACATTTAAAATATATTAACTTCAAATGTAATACTGAACAACACTACAGTTAAAATTATAATCAAGACTTTACATGTGCTTTAGTATGTTAGTCAACACATCAAAATAAGTGTACTTCTTTAAAACGTGAGAAAAGATTATTAAAACAATGATTTAAAATGTACTAAAACTAATTTGACATTATTACGAAGTAGATGTTTAAAGTGTACTTAAGTGTGTTAAGAAACATAGTTTTACATTTTTATTTCATTGATATTATATTATGTGCAAGTACAGTTTTTTTTTAAATATACGTTTAAGATTTGAAGTACACATTCAATACAATGAAGTACACTTCTTTTTCAAAAGGGATGCACAACAGGTATTTGTGGTTCTATTTTAATATTACAACTTGCCTACCTTCTCATGAGGCGAGTCGATGAGCAGGTATGCTGGGTCCTGACTCACTGACTGAATGGAGAGGGTGTACTGAGCAGAGACTTCAGCTACGTCACATGACTTCTGCACTTCCTCCACACGAGCCTCCCACAGTTTGATCTGACCCAGAGGAAACTGGGTAGGGAAATACATTATTAGTGCATGGACACATACAGAAGTCCTGTGCAGGATGACTGTGATTTAATGAGACAGAAGACCTTGTCCTCTTGATTTCTGAAGTAGTAGAGAGTTTTCCCAAACAGCTCACACCACACATGCTTAGAGTAGCCATATTTCACCTTAAAGAGTCAGAGACAAACATGTTACAAACAGCTACAATATGATATGCATTATACCTGTTCTTTCAAACTTTCCATTCATCAAAGAATAAACCTTTTCACAGTTTCCACAAAACTACTAAGCAGCAACTGTTTTCAGCATTGATAATAATGAAACATGTTTCTTGAGCATCAAATCAGCATATCTGAATGATTTCTGAAGGATCACGTGACACTGAAAATCAGATGTCCTTTCATAACAGGCTGTGCGTCAGGGTGAGTGAAGAGCGGACTCGCAGCTTTGATTCTCAGGATGCTCTGCAGGACCCTCAGCCACTCCTCCAGGAGGTTTGGGGAATCTGCCTTCAGATTACACACGCTCTTACCTGTCACCACCTGAAGGGACACAACATTAACACGGACAGTCATGTGAAATAATCTGAGACGTTTGAACAAACTCTCTCTCTCACACACGCGCTTTACCTGAAGCATCTGTTTGCCATCACCACGTGCTATAGTGCTACACGCATTCAGCTCAATCTGACCTTGGGGTTTACGGATTACGTCACTCTAGGAAAGAAAATCAAAGCACCACAGGAAATGCAGGAAACAAAGAACATAAAGTAATATGAAAAAAATGAAAAATCAAGAACAAGACGATATCATTAATATGAGAACTTTATGAAAGAAATAAAGAATAAAACAGAACAACAAAAATAAAATGAGATACATGAGCTAAACTGACTGGTGATTTGTAGTAGAGAAGCTCCCCGTCCTTCAGAACAAACCAGTGCCTCTTCCACGTTTTCTTCCATGTCTTGACCATCTTGAGCAGGTATCCAGACTTCTCCATAGACTCCTGGAACACAACACATTCTCATTTGGTCTGGCAGCTGTGACTAACTGAGAAGCACAAGTGTGTGTGTGTGTGTGTGTGTGTGTGTATGCGTCTTACACTTTTGCCGTTGTCACTGCTGGAGGAGCAGGTCTTTGGCAGTTTGTTTTCAGGTTCAGAGCACTCAGTGTCAGTGGAGTAAGCATCAGGAGGGATGGCGTAGTCACTCTCAGATGTCATAGAAGACAATGACACAGCTGAGAAAAACACAACACGTTCAGTGACTGAGGGTGTGTGTGTGTGTTGGGCCCTATAAAATCCATTTTATTTTATTCTTACCCAAATTCTGTGTGTTCCATTTGAGTTTTTCTGGATTCTCTTTTAATAGGCTAATTTATTCGGCAAAAAACATGTCTAATCAATTTAATTTATAAAACGTTAACAGTTTAATCTTCTGAAATGAAATCAAATGAAAATAAGAGTTACTAGTTAAAATCTAAAACTACATAAATGTATGTTACTTAAAATAAACTTGAACTGAAATAAAATATAATATAAAAAACAAAAACATTAAACTTATTTTAATTTAGCTAGTTGCCAAGGCAAAATTTCTCATAATTAAAAGTGAAATACAACTTAATAAAACTATATAGTTTACTAGTCACAGACACTAGGTTATATCACAATTTGAATTTGATCCATTTTATAGCTCTACTTTTGATTAACTAATCAAAAAATGTCAAATTCCATGACATTCCATGTTATACTGTAAATTTCATTTTTATGACTGGATTCTGCATCATGGAAACCATAAGGACTATTTTGTAGATGCTTTTCCACCACTTGTAACCAACACATTTCACTGACTTCTCCATGAATTCTCCAGTCCTGCACGATTATTATTACTTTACAGAGATTACACTCATAAAGTATAAATATTTTAGAGCAACTTCTATTTATTACATACTATGGTTGAGGTTCTTGCTCAGAGGTACAGTGGTGATAAATTGCTACTTCCAGGGTTGGAACTTGCAGGTTCTTGGTAACTAACACTGATCTACACCACCATCACATGACGTGTGTACCTCTCTTAAGGGAGCCGGGGCTTTCATGGCTGCTCATCTTGTGTGATTCTGATTCAGAGGTCTGGGAGTTCTCCTCCTCTCCAGAGTTAGACTGACACTCCTCCGAACTGTCCTCCTCCTCAGAACTAGACGACTCCTCAGAGAACTGACCATTGCTTAACAAAGTCGCCTTCTGTGAGAGTAAAAAGAAATGCTGCATTCATAAAAATGTAATTAGAAGATTTCCTACTATTACTGATAGACGTGCAGACTCTTATGCAAATAAACAGTCATTTTGAAACTGAACACTGCCGAGAATCAGGGTCTTATGGTGAGACACACACACACACACACACACACACACACACACACACAGATTCCTACCCCTTTGAGTATGGTGAAGACAGGTGTGCTTGTGTTCCTGTAGATGAGGGATGTGTAGAGCATGTAGGCAGGGCATGAGAATGGGTGGGAGGAGTCTAGAAGAGGAGGATTGGACATAAGTAGGTTGTAAGTAAATGCACAATATGATTTGGGCAAGTAGGAAATGTTCCTTGATTACTTTGTTGGTCCTGGACCAATATTAACATTGCAACAATCACTGGCCAAACCCGATTCAATAAGCATAAACTAAAACTATAAATCCTAAAATCAGAAGGATTATAGTAGATAAAAACATTTGAACAGCTAATGCAGGAACATGCAAATGCCATATAAATGCTATTATGTTTTTTCTTTTCTTTTCTTTTGCTATTTGCACAAATGGGAGCATAAAACATATATTTGTTGTAGTTTCCATTCATCACTATAGACGTTCACCAAACTATGACAACTTCTGCTTCTGAGAACCCTGGAAATGTGAAAAGGCTCCATGGACAGAAATGCATAACACAGGTTTGGATTTTTCCTTAAAGGGGTCATGAACCAAGAAATCAAATTTCCCTTGATCTTTTGACATCTAACAGGTCTGTGTACTATAAATACATCCTGTAGGCTTCAGAATTAAAACTTTTTTGTTAGTTCAAAAACAGCTTTTATTGAAACCAAGCCGCAAAACGACTTGTTTTGGAATTTGTCACATTATGACATCACAGTGCGGCGAAAAGACCACCTTCTGCAGAAGATGATCAATGCCTATTTCTATTGCCTCTTTAGCCCCACCTACTGATTCACGCATGTAGCAGGAGGAAGGAAATACTAGAGAGATGCAAACACAGGATTACTCCATCAACAAAACCACAGAGACGCCTCCGAGGATTATAACATGCTGTGTAGTCTACGTTGTGAAAAAACACAGTTCCTTGTGATCCTAATAAAGCTGTGGACACACTACACGACTAGTTAAAACATTCTAAGACTGAACTCAACCCACTTAAAGACTGTTTACATCGACTGGAGCAAATTCTAGTCTTTGACAGTCAGAGACGAGCACAAACCTAATGACTGAGGCAGTCCACTGCACTACACACTTAACGACTGGCGAGTCATGACTGGACAAATTTTGCCAAACCAAAAAAAACAAAAACCCCAAAAACTCACAATCTCACAAGAACAACACCGGTGCTTTTATTTAATTCTTGAAACACTAAAGGTTCATTTTACTTTTCTTAGTTTGTGCTTAATATAACAGAAAACATTTGCTTTCCTGCTGTGTTGGTGTTGCTCAGGGCCGGACTGGGACGCAATTTCAGGCCGGGAAATCTCACACTCATCCAGGCCACACAGAAAAAAAGGGGCCA